ATTAGAATTTAATAGGTTGCCTATAATAATTTTCAAGATTACGCGCTCTTTAGCCACGCGTTGCCGCGATCGAAAATTCCTGCAATTTTATAATCCTTTTATCCCGAGTTTTATTCGCAGGAATATAATTTTAAAATCGATTAAAATTAGAGAAAAGCATTTTTATACCAACATTTACATAGCATTCACATTTTACTCTAATAACCTAGTGCGAACAAAACCTTATTTTTCTTCCAAGGTTATTTATGTATAACGATCAAAATATCAAAATTGAATTTTAGCCTGAATCCTTTCCTTCCAGTTCCTTAATGGTGCATTAGTCTCACCCTGAGAAAATTCTAGGCAATAGTCTTAGTAGAATAGTAATCTATTCTAGGCAATATCCTGACACGAGAAGTATCCTAGATACTACCTACTGTAGATTTGAAATTTTATCGTATCTGAAAGGCGGAATCAAAGGGACCTCAAAAATCGGAGTATGTGTTGTAAAATGTGAAGTTAATAATTATGTTCCTAAATATATATAATATATAATCATTTAGAGCTTTGCATAATGACTATTTATAAGATGTCGGAACGGATCTCCACTGTAAATATCCCCGCGGGATTTATGTACGTTAATGATGATGTTGTTATGATTGTCATACCGCATAATAATTATTTGTTTAATTGAATCTGTATTTATCTTTGCCACTCTGTTGTAGCAAAGATATGCAAGCAAATTTAGTATTAATAAGGTGCATAGTTATTAAAACAATTAGTTACTGGGTACTCAAAATGATATACTGGCACATTTAGAAAAATATAACTCAGTACTCACTGCAGAGTGTGACAGAGAGCGACGAAAACATGAAGTCACGGACGGACAGACAGACGGACATGGCGAGCACAATAGTGCATTTTTTTCATAAATAAGAAAATGCGCTAAAAATACTTTTAAAATTAATGAAATTTATACTTGCGAACGCTACACTTTGCCTCTTTGTTTTAGGTAGCTTGGATTCCACTGTAGTAGGACTGCTTGCAACAATATTTATTGTGATCTCTTCTTATATTGTGTTGGGATTTAAACCACAGTTCTAAGAGACTAATCAAAAATCTAAAATAAATTATCTAAAATTTGTTATCTAAAATAAACCGCACGCTTCGCTCACGGAAAATGATTTTGTTCAGTGACCATTTCAATGCTACACGTGACACAACCGTGTGATCTTTCGTAGGCAATTTCAAATAATTTCCATTTCACTTGAGGTTACCATACCAGCTATAAGATGAAGGGATTGGAAAATGGACATATGAAAACAAATAAGAATAAAGTAAATATCTGCACAAAAACCTATCTATTTACAATTTCGAGGGGATATAACTGTCGATGGAGCTGGACTCCAAAACGTTTTCCTTCATAAGAAAGGGAAAATTTTTTGCTGTTTTCTTTGATTATAATATTTGATAGACTTGTGATCTAAGCAATCAAGTTTTCTTAATAAAAATATATTCAATTGTTTTCCTATTCAAATCGATTAAACTCTTGTTCAGTCTCACTTTTGGACTACACTTTGGAGCCCATGTCTGTGTTGGATCACAAAGCAATGACAAGGTAGAAGGCGTGGGTAAACGACTTCACGGCAAACGTCGTAACCCAATCAAAATCAGGAATTTACCTAACCAACTTGTAGAATAATATATTGTACCGCGTTACCATGCGGATTTAAAACATGAAGAAACATTTTGAATTTTGGGAAGAGTAATTGGGGAGCCGCCTTTCCAAGAGTACCTGCAAGCACACATGTTTTAGTTATACTTGCTTGTATCATCGTACAAGCAACTTGTTTTATATGTTATAAACTTTAGCCCCCCGCGCGCGAGCTAAAGGTATCAGAACCATCAACTTGAAGGGCGAGACGACCAGGCTACGCCAGCGGTCATCCATTCTGTACACGCTGGTCTCCTACAGCCCGCTCTGTACACGCTGGTCTCCTACAGCCCGCTCTGTACACGCTGGTCTCCTACAGCCCGCTCTGTACACGCTGGTCTCCTACAGCCCACGAACGTGAGCTAATTACCTCGCGTACAAATGTGATGATATCCATCAAACGCCATCACAGAAACGCATCACCGATACCGTTGGTGCAATTTGGAGGAGAAATGACTGCATCGAGTCAAAATTAATTCTGGACTGAGCCCTCTAATTAAAATTATATTTACTGGAGCTTTTATAATATTGGGCAGCGTTTTCCCTTGCATGCGTGTGTGAATGTGCAGGAGCAACGCCTCTGGGTTAAAGAGTAAAAACATAGTTGCCACGGAATATCTGAAGCTTGGCAAGAAAAATTTTAAAAACATCTACAGGATAGAAAAACATCCTTCAGATCCCAGCCCTCGGAGGTTAGGGCAAGGGTTGAGGTGAGGGTAGGGTGGAGCTGGTAATCATGTCACATGATCTCTATAAAGAAGCCTATAGAAATTGAGCGTTATAAACGATTGAATAAGATACGCGTAATCCGTGTGTTAATATTCCTCTTCCATGTGATGCACTCTTCCTTCGACATAGGTGAATGTAAATTATAGTTTATTTTCTTGTCTTGCACCAAATTATTACTAAATTGCATGTTACCCTTCATCCACGCCCCACATTCCATCTCTATAGTAGGCCCCACCCCACGATTTGCTGGAGCTCTAATCGATATCATCCAAGGTAGCTTGATTCTCAAACGTACATACCAGTTAAAATTGAGGCAGCCTCTCTTTGTTGTTGGTACTCCGATACTTATTGTCAAACTTTCAGTTACTTCAACAGAAGGTTAATTGGAATGACCGCGCTAGAAAATTGGAATGACCGCGACTAATTTGAACAAGTCAAGCCAATGGCTATAGCCAATTCCCAACATGATTAAGCCCTGCACGCTGACCAAAAATTTCTTTAATTAAAAGCTAAGAAAGTTTTTCAGGTGAGACGAAGTGAACACTAAGAACGACGCGTGCCGTTGAACGCGTTCAGCAGCGTGGTTATATACAGGATTAATTCAGACATCGAACGATTTATACCTGAAAAATTTATCTAATGGCACAGCGCTACAAGTGGCTTAGCTGTCTAATAAATATACTAAATAACTTCGATAACACGACGGAAATCAAACTGCTAGAAGGATTCTATGAATAGAAGCAAATTATCAGAGGTATTAATGCTATAAATAGAACCTGATTTGTAAATTAAAGGAAAAAATAAAATATATTGTCAGCAATTTAAGGAATCCAAGAAGAAATTTTCTTACGGAAGAATAATTATTTTGTAATATGTAATCTAAAATCAAAGCACTCCATACCTGACTAAGATTTTAATTACAATCACAACTACGCTGAGTTCAGCTACATTAACTACTGGACACGGCCTCGATTAATTAATTCTCGGAGTTATCGACCGGCCATACGCGACCAGAAATGCTGTAAACACGCAAACATAAAACAGGCTCGGATATTTAATTTAATAAAAGACATTATTTTATTAAAAGACGTTTTCGAGTATCCGGACTGCACCGCTATTCTCCCATTATTAGAAGGCTCTCGGTTTTAGTTGAAATTATTCCAGTTTCATATAGTTTGTTCAAGAAGATATGTTTAATTATGAATGCAATTCTGGCTCATTGATTTATTTTATTTCATTATCAACCTTGAGCAAATTTTACTAATTGTTCCTAGACATGTTGAGTTTGCTTAAAATTTTTGTGAGTAATCTTCTGAACAATTATTACTGTCTAGCTTTTTGATGCGCGCTTAAACGATCAAATCTGCTGTTCTTTTGTAAAATTAGGATAAAATATCTTTTGAACGTCATATTTATTGTCTCTAAGTTTTACACTTTGTTGAACGGTCCTCGGTGGGAAAATAAGATTCAGTACCCACATAATATCGAAGCCTCGTTCGAATTAGAAAATAGAGTTAGGAAGAGGCAAACTCATTTCATCTCAAAAAATATGTTATAGAAGAAACTTTGAATTTTGTAAAGCTTTGTTTACTAAGTTTTGTATTTCATTTTCAATCAGCCATTCTCAAATGCTCAACTTAAGGGTCACGATGCCAGTGCTTCATACACAGCACGCAACGCACACACCGAAGAAAAGGGCGATAGCAGTTACAGACAAGGACATGCTTCCACTTTATTTTCATGACCAGATCCTTGCTTCAGTTCAATTTTATTGTATAAAACAAATTTGCTTCGAAATCGTATTTAGAATTTAAACATCAAGAACTTACAAACGTAAAAATTAGCTAATCGGTTGAGGTATATTTTCTAAAAGTACGTTCCCTTGTCCAGTTACCCAGGACAGCGACACGGTATTTGTTTACGCGTTACCGAGACGACGTCAAATACGGAAGTTGAAGCTCGCCTGCTGATTGGTTGATAAAATTCTACGTGTGTTGTTAAATATATCAATCTGCTCTGAGGCAGGGCAGTCTGTCGCCGGCCGGGTTTCGGATTGGAAGCTCCATAGTGCCTCCGTAAAGACCGATATTTTTTTCAGCCGGAGAAGATAAATTTCGTGTTATTTTCTCCTTTTGCTTTATTTTGAATGATAGTGAACAGGTGTGGCACTCAAAGAATTTCATGGAAGGAATTTTTTATTTAAAATTGTTTAGGGACATTTCTTGTCATTGTTTCTAAAAGCAAAAATGTTCAAGAGATATTAAACGGATTTGGAGTGTTTTTTTCCTGCATGGAATCAAATATTTCCATGCAGGAAAAAACACTCCAAATCCGTTCAAGAGATATTAAACGGATTTGGAAAAAACACTCCAAATCCGTTTAATATCTCTTGAACATTTTCTAGAAGCAAAAATGTTCAAGAGATATTAAACGGATTTGGAGTGTTTTTTCCTGCATGGAATCAAATATTTTTCCTGCATGGAATCAAATAGGACGGGATGCTAATAACTCTTTTCATCTACCAGCAGATTATTCGAATATTACCTAAAATTAGCAAATAAAAATACATTAACTTCAGTCGATCATGCCGAAGGTGTCCGTGAGAGCCACAGTGGCGGTGGTTACCTTTGTGATTTCACTTCTTGACTTCTGCGCATCAACTGAAAACATCCCACGAAAATGGGCAGCTTTCTCGGCAAATATCACAGGTCTGAGCAGTTCCAACGTCTCTGATGTTGATGTTAAAGAGGAGATTCTGTGTAGTATTTTAGCAACTAAAGACGAAAAGGCGAACCTCTTCTGCTTCGGACCAGAAGGCTGTGTTTTCGGACATGTTTACTTACCGGACGTTGAAGGAGAGCAAACCCCAGGCTACAACTGCTACTATTGCCATGGTATGCATCAGAAAATTGTTATGTTTTTAGTGAAATATAGATTAGGTCATACCTATATATATATATCAACAAAACTTCATTAGGGTTTGGTGTCAAGAACTCATATAGTTCGCAACTGAGTTTACATCGCGGCCCAGTCAGAAGCAAACCATTTACGCCCAATCTTTCTGACTAATTTCAGCTACATGGCCAGCGTGTACCACTTTGCAAGTTGTTCTCAAGAAAGTAGGCTCCGGAGCAAATTACATTTGTCGTACCTATTGAAATTACATATCTTCCTGGACCATCCGGAATTTTTCATCCTGACATTTTAACTTCTAAATACTAATTTGTAATTACCGTACGTGTCATATGTAATAGGAATTATCTTCATCTTCTCTGTAATTCGATATAAATATCCACTAACAGAAAAAACGTTAAAACTATTCCCATTGCCAAAGTCTCGATGATTTTCGGTCCCACATATTTTACGGAGAAAAAGCAAAAAATAATTTTTTATTACTAATGTAATGCATTTTGATTCTTAACGTCATGAAAACATAAGGAATTTTGTACATGTATTCTTCTGAAATGCATAATCGGGTTTACAGTTTGGTTCACACATTAACATTGGTTGATACAATTTATTCATGTCGGAGCGTAATGGATGAAGAAAAAAGCTTCAGCTAACTGGTATGTTTCTCGTAATTCCGCAGTTTGCCTTCACGACAACGAAACTCTCCACGAAGGAGAAAAGGTTCCTGACACTTTCTGCCCGAACCTCAACCTGACTTGCACCAAGCGTGGCCTGGTCAACCAAGCTGATGGTGGGTTCCAATGAGAATCAAATGTGGCAACGTACTTTCGAAGTTTTTTACCATCAGTCGATACCTCCCATATGTTTTGGACATAGGCATAAATTTTCCCTCTTCTCCACCAAAACTCAACTACGTACACATACCCAAACTAATTATGTGCAATGCACCTCTTCGTCTCCTACTATCCTTTCCATTCCTCTTTTTTCTGTTTTTTCCCGTTTTTCCTACATGGTAACTCTATGAATCATAGAGTTGCCATTTAGGAAAAACTCTTGTTTTTTCCTTACTTTCTCTAGTGGCACCGCACACACACACACACACACAACACACACTTTTACGGTCAAGAAAAATATGAATTAAAGATTTGTCATTATTTAAATAACTTTGCACACGGTGTTATCTTTTTTTTTCTTGATATAAATCTATAACACCAAGTTTCCAAAGTAAACAGAGATTTAATAAAATAAATTTGCAATATCATCTCTCGAACCAAGAACAAAACCAAAAGTACAGAAATGCTTGAACAAAAATATGTTCCGTGTGCAGTCTAACCATTTGCAGATACGAGGGAATAAGCGCCTGATTAGGATCTGGTCGCGCCTGTTCCTTGACAACCGCGGGGCGGCGAGCGTAGGGCACGCGTAGTTGGTACCTGGTACGTTCGAAACAGACACGGCCGAATCTGAAAAATGCGTTAAGAGGAGCGTCTACCCTAAAATTTATCTCGGCTATTTACAGACGGATCACTCTTAAACTTGGTACACTCATGTGAAATAGAAAATAAAGCTTTTTGTTCATGTGAATTTTTCGAAGTAAATTAAAGAAATCGTGAAACTCTTAGAAAACGGCCAAAAAGGGGATACCGTAGAAATCTATCTCCTCCAGGATTTTCCAGCTACGATATCGAGACACATATCATTCGATGCGTAAGAACCATAGTTACAAAACTATGTAGGAGTTTTTTGCAATTCTAATTTTTGAGGGTGGGGGCCATTTTTTGTAAATTGTTTGATTTTTTTCGATTTTTTCTCCACTTTTTACTAAATAAAATCCAAATTATAACAAAATTAGTGTTTGAAATTTCTAGATCTTTTATTGCTAATCGAATGATATATGTCTCATTGTTGTGGCTTTAAAACTCTAGGAGGAGATAGGTTTGCAGTGACAGTAAGTTAACTTTTCAGTAGAGCCCGACAAAGTCGCGCGCGCCTCGAAATAGACATTCAAGGGTGCAAGGTTGCAAGACTAGACGAGACTGGAGCTCAATTTCTGTCAAGAATGGTGCGAATGACGGCATGCGAACTATCCTGTACGACTGCATGCGGATAACTGAAGCACAGCGTGTTCAGATTAGCTATTTAAGTGGACTGCGGGTAATTTAGACCTATCTTAAATGTTAAAGAACTCCACCACCCCTAAACCTTTCACGATATGTCGTAAACGCATAAATCAGCGTACAGAGAGGGTTTTGAAACCGTTGGATAGGTCAGAATGTCAGCTTTAACGTGAGACTAAAAACCGGAAAAGCCAAAATCCGAAAATTTAGGGTAGACGCTTCCCTTAAAAAATCCAGCCTCCCTTCCCCCTTTATGGGGGGGAAGAGAGGGGGCATTTGAATCGCTGTACGTAATCTGTACGCTGTAATCGCAGACTAGACATGTAGCACCGCGGCACAATGAAGCAAGTAACCAGTAAACATAAGTTTGAAACTGGAATGATATCAGTAAATACAACTTTCAACCTCAACTTTCCATATTACCCACAACATTCTCTTATATATATCGGAATGCAAAATCCTCTCACATTGCCCGAGCAAACCAATCTCTAATATTCACCAGCAATCAGCATTCTCACACATTGCCAAAACCCAACAATCTTCATCCACGTACGAAACATTCTACCCATTTATCTGCACCAAACATTCCTACCTATTGCGGTAGTAGCGGTAACAAACATTTTCTACGCACGGATGAGCAAAATATTATCTCACCTTAACCAGTATAGAACCTACTCCCATATTCGCCAGAACCAAATATTCATATATACCGTTAAGCATTCTCCCGTGATAATCAGTTGAATCAGTCCCTAAAATTCTCCCAAAATATTCGCAAATACAGCCTACTGTATCTACAGACCTTATTTCTAATCATTCCAACGTAGCACAGACTCAATATAATAGCTAATTCCTGTTTCTAGAAATGAAGACCTAAATGTAGTGAAATTGTTCGCAGTACTTAAAATTCTCGAATCCTTTGTACTTAAAATTCTCGGAATACACAAGCGCAAAACATCCTCTCACATTAACCAGGGTGGCCTCGTTCAGGGGTCGGATTATCAAAACATCGCTAAGTACACGTAGCGTCTTACGTGTGGCGTAAGTGCTGATATGAAGAAGTAACTCTAGCGGTGGTATTATCAAAACATTTGCGCGGGAAGCTACGTACAAGAAACTGTACGTAGCTCTACGCCTGCTCTGAAGTGTCGTAAGTGGAGTTACGTACAAGTTTTGGTGTGCCGAAGCAATATAAAACTATTGATTTACTTGCAACACAGTGAATTGTGATAGAATTTGGATTTTGTCGATAATTCAATATAGGCATAATATGTGATCGTGCTAAACGGTGTTTTTTTGGAAAAAAAATTTCAATTTAAATTATGCAAGCCGATGTTTTTTTCTTTGTGTTCCTCTTTAATAATTTACCAGCAAATGTTGACATTCATATCTAAGAATTTTATGATCATTCCCTAAAATCTTCTTTTAGACTTTTTGATTCAAAATTAAGTGGAGGTTAACAAGCCAACCATTTCTCTAGCCAACCATAACAAGCCAACCATTTCACAAATTTCTAACTCCAACTCTAATTCTAAATTCTAGGTAGTAGCTCTCTAAAAAAAGTCCTCTAATTTTGAATGGGAATAATGTAATTTTTCCCTTGATTGCAATCAAGGCGTTGCCATTGCTATCTGGACAACGTCCTATTAATTTCTCAATATGCTCCCTAGTCAGTCAACGCAGATGCCGCTGACACGACACAACCTCCTTTCATCCACGCGCACTGCGCACTGAGTCGACAGGAGCCAGGAATAGCAAATTCATAGCCTCTGATTGGTCAATTTGCCAGATGGTTTTGACAATAGCTTCCCTGATGAGTCTTGCGTACAAAAGTTTTGATAACGCCATAATTAGGGTGTACTTACGTTGCACGTATCTTCATGTACGTACGTAGAAAAACTATACGAAGTTTTGATAATCAGGCTCCTGAGTACCAAGATTGGAGCAGAGAAGTGCCGGTTCGATTCCAGCTCTATGCGACAGTTTGTGGTCAGAATTGGCAAGGAGGCCAGTCGGTTAAGCAAAGCAAAATTGAGGAAGAGATTTGCGCGTTTAAGACCGCAACAAGCTGTGAACATTTAGCGGCAATCGGCGACAAAAAAATCGGCGACAGGCCTACGGCCTTACAAACGCTGAAACCGCTATTATTATTATTATTATTAAAATTAATAATACTATTATTATTGTTATTATTATTATTATTAAACATTCTCTCATTAGTCTGACCAAAAAAAATTCTTCCAATTCACTAGTCAATAACACCATTCTCCCACTTACAAAAATAACCAAACATTCCATCACTCTACAATCCAATTCATCATTTATTTATCAATTTCAAAACAATAGTTCGATTTCACTTTGAATAGAGTTCGCAATAACGGAACCGTGCTACTCAGTGTGTAACGGAATGTGCCTTGTAACCCTGTTGGAACGTGTGAGCAGCAAGCTGTCCGTCGACCAGTTGGTAAGGTAGCCAGGCGCCGTTACTTAACTTGTGCACGCGACGTTAATCGACTTGATGAATCTAAGCTTTCGGTTCTATAGTTCACAAACGATCCTGAAGTCTTGCTTGGTGAATCAGACAGTATAACCTCGAGCATAAGAACGCGAGCAGCTGAAATAACACGTTCGTGTCAAAATTCCCCAAGCAGAAATTTTCAGTCAAAAAAATTTCGACAAAAATTTTGAAGCTCGACGGTGTGTTTTTAAATGTCGTCATTCCCTGTATTCCAACCGCCGAAGAATTTAACATTAGGAGGCACTGGACATTAAACACTCAAGAAGTTGTGCTTGTAAAGACTCCTAAATTAACATGTTCAGCTTGTAGAAACTTCACTGTTTTCCATTCGCTTACATGACAATTCACTCTAAGGATACGCGATAGAAACGAGAAGTATTTTTAATTATCATCCGCATGAGACAAAATGCACCAAACTACTGCCAGCAACGAGAAGCGTTCAATGACCACTCACTTGCTAACCACACCTTTGAACAGGGAGTATTATGGGGGTTGTTTATCAGTCTTGCCTTGAAAGCGTGGGTTTTAAAGCCATGCGTATATATGTAATTTGCGCGTGTTGTCGCAACAACAATGCACGCTTGTTGCTAGAACGCGACGAACGTATGTAAACATAGAAGTAACATAAGCGTGTTGAAGATGACGTACTGCACGCGTGTTGTACATATTCGCACATCGCAAGCGTGTTAACAGAAAAGCAATGTTCGCGTTAAATCGCGCATTGAAGATTACGCTGTTCACGCACGCGCAGCAGAAAACGCGTGTTGGCGAGCATTAGTAGCAACCCTATTGATATAGAAGTAACGCAAGCATGCGGAAGATAACACAATGCCCACGTGTTTTTCTATGCACACGCAAAGCACACGCGTTGACTGGCACGCATTTCACGCGTGTTAAATCTCACGCAACTCTCGCGTGAGCAACACGCACTCGATGCAAGCGTGTTGAAGATAACGCAACGCAAACGTGTTGAAGATAACGGAACGCAAGCATGTTGACGTACACGCAATGCAGAAGTGTTGAAACGCTCGCGTGTTGAGAAGTTCGTACCCATGCACATCTTGCACAATGCACATGCAGCGTCACGACTAAAGGCAGGGGCTTGCCACGCTCGCGCTAAGAACTCAGGCCAGCTACTGAGCAGGGTATGTCAATGGTGGCCTGACCAGCCG